TCTATTGCAAGAATTTTTTATTTACAAGCCGAGCACAACACAACACAAGTAATGTCAGGTTATGTCAATTCAAAAAGTCATAGCATCACTCGAAGTCAGAATGGCAAAGACAGACTAAAAACAAAGAGGTTTTAGGCTTCCCAAACCCAAAAGCCCCAATAGCCTTGCGCGCGCTTGCCTTGTTTTTTGTTAGAACTTTTTATATGATATGGACTCTTTGCTCAGACGTGGCTCAGACTTCAGAAATGAATTGACAATCCTTGACACGCTCTATGACGCTGTCACTAACTGACAAAAATTAGCCCTCGTATTTCTTCATATATTTCTACTTTTTATCTATTTTTATATAATATTTTGTACAAGAATGTTCAGTAATTCAGTCAGAATATTTTTACCCAGTGCATACAGTATTAGAACATCGTACGGGACGTCCAGGATAGGGAATCGGGACGTGGTCGGTCATGGATGCAACGGAATGAATGTTTACAAAGATGATGCACACTTTCCATTTCCAGCCATCAGGTTTCAGGAGAACACGCCGTATATTGCTGTAAGTGATGGTGTTTCTCAGCTCCAGTGAGCCACAAAGCAAAAAAATTAATGCTCCAGTCAGAATTTTTGCATCCCGACGCGAATTTTCAGTCTCTGGTCTAGCCAATGGTCTAGCATTATCTTTAGCCGACTGGACGACGACATGGGACTTCTCCAGGCGCTTCCGTAGACCTCAGATTGGGTCGACAGCATCTAATGGCTGCGCTCCACTTTTAAATTGATCCTCGCTTCACTGGCTGCTACTTCAATTCAAAACCAGCAATAGCTCAATACTCAATTCTTTATTGCTTTCATGTTGTATATTATAATAAGACATACGTTCGTGTCGTGCAATGAAACAGAGATTTATGCATGTTATTGTCTCCTTTATGATTACCTAGTTACTTCGCTGGCTCAGAAACCAGAAGTGGAACTTGGTTTCCGATACAACTGCACAACTCTTCTCTGTACTGCGAAGTTTGCTTCAATCAGGCTTTAGGAGTAAATGTTGCTTTGAGAAAATCATGTTTTTTATATGTTGCTTAATGAAAATATTTTGCGGAACTCATGCGATCGTATTTTCAGGGTCTCCGTTTAAAAGAAAAAGGTGACTGGAAGATGCTAACTTGCGAAGAGAAGAAGTGTTTGTACCGAGCCTCCTTCTGCCAGACCTTCGCTGAGTTCCAATCGTACACCGGACAATGGAAGTTCATTCTCGGCGGCATTTTCTTCGCCACGTCGTTTGCCTTCTGGTGGCAAATGTTTTATTACGCTTTCGGTAAATGAGAAACAGCATCTAACATACATCACGCCTTTACCCCTTTCGGGCAGGCGCTAACGACTTTAAAAGTAAAAGTACAGTCGTTATCGCTAAGTCTGACAAATATTTGAGCAATGTTTCAGAAAAATCGTGTATCCTACTATAATATTATAAAGGCGGATGTTTGTGTGTGTGTTTGTTACGACATCACGCTAAAACGGCTGATTAGATTGACATGAAATTTTGCACAAATATAGAAGAGTATCTAGAATAATCCATAGGCTACTTTTTACCACGGGAAAATGTCTTATTCCTATGGGATCACGCATATTCCAATATTTTTGCAAAGGTGGCGTGACTGAGCCGATTCGCGTTTTAAATGTTTTCGCCGAAAACTAACAGCGACATCTCTTGGCGAGTAATGCTTTTTTCCCGCGGAATAATAGGTTGCAGCGGGTGAAACCGCTGACGGGCAGCTAGTATTCTATAAAGTAGAGATACAATGTCAGCCTGTAGCCTAAAATAAAATTGTAATACAGACGAAAATCAAGTCCCTTCATAACCTCTTTCGACACCCTAGGGAAAAAATGTGGTGATGCAATTCTAAGCCAGCATCACACGGCCTAACAGCGCAATTGTTACAGCTGAAAGAACCCTAGTAACCCTGAACATGTACTTTGAAGTCGTAGAATTGCTATGCTTAATGATAGGTACATGAAAAAGGAAGAAAGGAACGTAAGAAATATAACTTCGTTCCTTTCAAAGGGTAAACCTATCCCACACATTAGACCATTTTTCTCCGAAGAACATCCATCTCATCTAAGTATCTTAGTTTTCAAAAACACTGTCATCAGATGTTCGGGTGGATCTAGGAATGTATGATGGTTGGTGATAGCCTAATTTTCTTCATCATTCCAGTCACCGACGAGCGCCCAGCCAGTCTAAGTGAGGAAAGTCGGAAGTTACAGCTGAGGAGGATGATCGAGATACGTGTCAACCCTATTGACGGATTATCCTCGCTGTGGAATTACGACGAAAACGAATGGAAGGTAAGGAAGCGCTGGAAACCGTTTTCCCATAGGAATAGATAGTTTCCTGTAGCAAGAAGTAGTCTGTAGGGATGCTGCAGCTTTCTAATGGTGAAAGTAAAAGTTCAGGCGCATCTTTTTGGTGCGTTTAGGACAGGTTTAGGCTAAGCACAGTCGCGCCTACAGCAAGCTTTAAGGTTTAAGGTCTCCTCATTGCGGTTTTCAATCCACAGGTTTTCATCAACAGGTTATAAAATGCATAGATAATAGACAAAAACTCTCATAGGTTAGCTTACAAATAACATACTAATTTGTTTTTTTTTTGCAGTTCATCATACCAGATATGGTGGTAATCGAGAATACCAAGACGCAATTTCCAAATGAAAATGAAACTAAATGAAAGGAAACTCATCAAGAAGTTTAGTCGATTAATTAATTTTATTTCGGATTAGTGACTGAAGTGTGCGATCGCATATTTGTACACCTTTTTGACTTTATTGTACACGGGTGGTCTTCTCCCAAAATAACGCGCGGCGTACAAGTTTTTTAAAAACTGTTTTTATAATTACAGCCAAAAATATCTAAAAAATATAAGTTATTGTCGGTCCAATAAATACCAATTCACTTTCAAACTTTGACAAACTCTACTCGATAGAAAAATTATATTTAACTCGAATTATTTATTTGCCTATCCTAATTCTGGAACTTGCAACAGTAGGTAACGGTATTTTTCTAGTTTCTGTATCGAAAACTTTGGACACCGAATGTGGTGTGGGGTATTATGTAACATTTTGTTAGGTACGAGTATAAAATTCTGTTGATTAGTCGCCTAAAACTGCCTCACACCGCCTGACACTAAGATCTTAAGCAAGCTTACGCAATTCAATTGGCTTAGGTCTGAAAATCTTGGATTTGAAATTGTTATTACATTTTTTATTTACGTTTTGTTTTGATAGAGCAATGATATTTACTTTATTTTTATATTAAATGTGTCTATTTTCATTTCTAGGTTGTTTTATTTTTGGGGCACCCTACCATCAATCAAATAAGTAATAGTCGGCAGCAACGTGTTGTAAAAATATTTAACGCGTTTAATCCTAATTTGGAAACTCTATACATGTACTATTAAGAACTTAAGGGCTCTGTCGTTTAAGGGACGGCCCTCCGAATACAGGTCACCCCAGCGCGTCGCTTCCCTAATTTGTACCGATATGGTGCACTCAGACCACGAAACTGAACAACATCCCATAAAAAAATATTTTAGGAAACGTAAAAAAATTATTGACTTCCGATTTTGTATGGGAGGTAAAAAAATTTTTACGTCTCCTGAGAATGCAATGCCTAGCCAATACTTACTTCGTGGCACAGAGTACCTTTTTATATCTTCGTGGCAATGCACCCTATTCAATTCAACCCTATTACTATTAGTATTCGGAGAGCTTTACCTTACACTCCGTATGTTACAACCATTGCCTTGGCTGTGAAGACCACTCGCTGCATACGCAGTCGCATAGCGCTCCCTTTCCCACTTGGTGGTAAACTCAAGTATGAAAGAGAGCGCTATACGGTCGCGAACATGTCGCGAATTCAGTGAGTTATCGTCTCGACTAGCAGTGATAGTTAGAAATTGGAAAAAAACTAACCTGAGATAAAAACTGGTTTAAAAACCACAACCTTTTAGGAGCTAGCTCCACAGGTAAGACGTAAGACATGAGACGGAGACGTGACACGTGCAACACGTTTGAAACCATTTAGGTTTCCGTATTAAAAGCATGAAACTGATGAGACGCCGGTTACACACACACACACGTGAGACGTCGCATCGATGACGGGCAACGATCACTTGTCCGACGGATGTCATCTTATGTCTCGTCGCACGTCTCCGTTGTGGAGATTACGCCTCAAATGTACCGGGAGTAACGGAAAGGGTATAACAAGCCGAAAGGAGGGTCGAAAAATGAAAAAAAAAATTTGACCTCCCATATTAAATCAGTCAGCTGATCGGCGATTTTGTATGGGAGGTCCAATTTTTTCACCTCACTTCACCTCCTTCCGGCTTGTAATACCCTTTCTGAACAAGGTGAAGTTGGGGCAGAAAAGAATACTATACTCACTGGCGGTAGACTGGCAGTCAGACAAGTATCGTGACGTGCGTGACTGTCTTTGTCAGGACTTTATTGACTTGTAGTTGGTGTTTGTCAAAAGCTCTTTGCAAAAGCTTTTTATCCAACAGAACGGGTTAATTATCCTAAAAATTATCCCTTAAAAATGTGGAAGTCTCTCCAGAGAATCAATACTGTGTTGGTACAAAATACAAGAAACGCATACGGATGGTCGCGCATAGGTAAGATATTAAAGAAACATGAGGTTGGTACGTGTGATGCCGTCTTAGAATACCTTACCATCATCTCAATTCTACCCGTAGGTGTCGTAAAAAGCGACTAAGGGAAAAGCAAGCATCGTTTCCTGCAAATGCAACATTTTGCACTGCGTTCGCCATTCCGAGCGTGGTGAGTACCTATTCCCCCTCCTTCCTCCCTAGGCCCATGTCCAGCAGTGGACTGCTATAATTTGATTTGATTGTTTTTAGCATAAGAAAAAAATATATTTCATTGAATACCTTTTAAAACTATTCCCTTTTTCGGTAAGTATACAATTTTCGGAAAACATGCAAAATTTTATACTGCAGGCAGAATTTGAACCTGCTGCGACTTTTTGTGCCGATGCCTCTACCAACTAGGCTACCGCGGCTCTACTATTGCCTGCGAAAGCAAGTGTATCTTGGCCACTAACGCGGCTAACTCCATCTACCAGGATAGCTTTGCAACTAATTCCATTTTGTTTCATTCTCACAGGCAATCGAGACGTAGTCGGGCACGGCCACAACGGCATGGCGGTGTACAAGGATGACTCACACTTCCCTTTCCCAGCTATCAGATTCCGGGAGAGCGATACTACCATCTGCGTAAGTCACTTCTTCTTCTCCTCCCAGCCATCAGGTTTCAAGAGAACACGCCGTATATTGCTGTAAGTTATGGTATTTCTCTGCTCCACTGAACGTCAAAGCAAGAAATTGAATTGAATCACTCCAGTCAGATTTTTTGCATCCCGGCGCGAATTTTCAGTCTCTGATCTACCATCATCATAGCTGTGAGAGACCTTTAAAGCAAACAAAGCACAGCGGCATGGCGGTCTACAAAGATGACTCACACTTCCCTTTCCCGGCGATCAGGTTCCGGGAGAGCGATACTATCATCTGTGTAAGTCACATCTTCTTCTCCTCCCAGCCATCAGGTTTCAAGAGAACACGCCGTATATTGCTGTCATCATCTGCCTGCCCTTATCCCTATTTATTTGGGGTCGGCGCAACATGTCTTTCTCTTCCATTCATTTCTATCAGCCGTCAAATCTTCGTTTACCCCTTTTGGATTCATATCATCTTTTACACAATCCATCCAAACTTTTTTAGGCCTTCCTCTCCTTCTGCGTCCATCCACATTCATATTCATTACCTTTTGCGTCACATGATTTCCGCGTATACTGCTGTAAGTTATGGTATTTCTCTGCTCCAAAATTGAATTGAATCACTCCAGTCAGATTTTTTGCATCCCGGCGCGAATTTTCAGTCTCTGATCTACCATATCATAGCTGTGAGAGACCTTTAAGGCTTCTACAGCCCTCTCCTCTACCGGAAGGTTCGAAATTCAAATAATATTCGGAAGTCGCGTCCGTGCCGGTCAATGAGTATCTTTACAGAGATGTCACCATACATTAAATGTTGGAATCAGTCAATGTCACAAAATAAATAGATACAGAGTAGCTGTTTACAGAGTCTTATTAATAGTACCTCGGTACGGTAATATGTAATTATTTTATTATTAAATATTACCGTGTGTATAATTATAAATTCAATTATTGTTACAACTATTTGGTTCATAATTTTGCGTTCCGATGTATGATATCAAAGAATTATTGACACTGGCAAAATTTGTCTTATTAGACAGAAGCCATTATGAAAGTTGGAAAATATTTTACAACAAAATTCTTGATAAAGTAATTTTATGCGTACAAATTGTTACAAATGAACAGTTTGGTGGGTCTGCTTCATTTTGCGTTTATCTTTGACCCATTCCACGTCAGTTTTGACTGCAGGGGAAACGTATCAAAACAAATACCTTTTATCAACCTTTGATTCCTTGGAATGAATCCGGAAACAGTAAGTTTGTCGCAAGATTACTTGATAATGGTGTATATTTATCAAAAAGTTGCATCTGTGATGAGTTTAACATTGAATAGTGAGTAGACGTGTGCGCCGCGCCGCCGCGCCGCCGCCGCCGACGATTTCGGTCACGCCGCCGCCGCCGATGGATAGACCGGCGTGAAATCGGCGTGGACTTAAATGTAACTTTTCTATATAACTTGTATTTGAAGTCCTTTAATTGGCGGAATAATGTTTAATACATTAACGAACTAGGTAAGAATAGTAAGTAACTTTGTTTACTAAGATTATGGCAGGGTTCATAAACTCTGACCACGTTGATAATCTGCAACCAGCTAGACAGATAAAGCTAATATAGCGAGTAGCTATATTTTGTATTTTTTGCTAATGAACGCGCTCTTTGACTGCCACGTAAGCGCGACGCACTTTTATCCTAGTGATTTCCAACATTTACTTGTGCATGTGCTCCGCATCTTCGTAATTGCCTTGGGTATCAAAAGATAAATACAGGGTGGGCCAAAAGAGGTCATCCCATGTGATACGCCTCCCATTTTTTTTGTCATTGAAATTGACTGCTGTTTTCGGAAATCAATCTTTCGAAGATGCAGAATTTATGTGATTATGTTTTAAAAAAGACATAAGTCAAATTGCCATTTCTACCGTATGTTTTAACATTAAGCATTCTGATTTCCATACATTCTTGACCATGTTTTTTTTCGTGTGTGGTGGCTTCAGGGACTTGAAAGTTTTATGACTTGTTATTTGTAATCTTGAGCTTTCTAAAATACCATTAAGTGAATTCTGCCGTTGTTGGATCCGGAGATCTGAGCAACCGGTTCAAAAACCAAATCCTGTGGATGGTTTTCACCAACTTGCATCAAATCTGGAAATGGCATCTAACTGTTTTTTTTTATTTTTTATTTTACAGCATTGGGTTCACATCTTCAATGGATTATTCAGTGATAAAAAACTTATTTTAACATACATATTTAAAAAATGGGGGCCGTTTTAACACGGGCTTAGCTTTTCAGAGACCTTTTTTGATTTAACTCAAAAGGTGGCAATTTGACCAATGTCTTTTTTAAAAACATAATCACATAAATTCTGAATCTTCGAAAGATTGATTTCCGAAAACAGCAGTAAATTTTAATGACAAATAAAACAATGGGGGGCGAATCACATCGGATGACTTCTTTTGGCCCACCTTGTATAAAATTCATTCAAGATTTTATCCTGCGGTTTCATATCGGCAGCTTTGGGTAACTTGATGATGGATTCTTACGCAAACCTGGACATTCAAGTGCTAGTATTTTTCAATGCAGTTAACCAACTAAAATTATTAGTAAACACATAAAACTCCTCATCAAATTAAAGAATCTTGAGGTATTTCGTTGATTTTAATTTTAACATTTTTAATCTTATTTTTTTTTTCAAAACGTTCAACAGTGTCTGCAAAAAAGTGTGGTTATTTGGGATTTTATGCTTAAAAATATTAAATTTGTACCCACGCCGATTTCACGCCGATTACGCCGCCGCCGCCGGTCTTTTTTCGACCGGACGCCGCCGCCAATCATTTTATCATCGGCGCACATGTCTAATAGTGAGTAATAATCACATAAAGTTTAATAATTTTCAATAACCATTGACGCAAAACATTTATACAACATTGTAGCATGGTCATGATAACAGTGAAAAATAGAGGTAAATTCATATTTTTATTTCTTAGTATTTTGGGATAAACTTAGATGTTTGCGTTTCTGGAAGCGTTTCCCCATATTTTGTAGAACAAAATTCAATTTTTTTCTGATAATAATGTGTTCTAGATTATGTAATATATTGAAAAAGCGTAGCTCGTTTTCACCTGACTTCATGGGAGTTGGCCCCTTAAAGCAAACAAAGCACAGCGGCATGGCCGTGTACAAATACGACTCACACTTCCCTTTCCCGGCGATCAGGTTCAGGGAGAGCGATACTACCATCTGTGTAAGTCACATCTGACAGCCGATGTGGCGCAGTGGTTAGTATGACTGCGTGCCACACAGAAGATTTCGGGTTCAATTCCCGGTGGGGTCACTCACAAAGTTGATATTTATCACTTTGTGAATTTGTTCCCGGTCTGGTTAGGACATTGCAGGCTGAACCACCTGATTGTCCGAAAAGCAAGATGGTTCAGTGCTTCGGTTGGGCACGTTAAGCCCTCGATCCCTGTTGCAATCTATAATGGCGTTCGTTACACACACAACTATGTAAGGCCTGCTACTTGCAGTAGGCGGTTGAAATCTGACACCAGGGTTCATCGGGTCATTGAACGACTCGGTGCCCCACACGAAGAGAGTGACATCTTCTTCTTCTTGTGATGTAAACGGCAAAAGTAGGTAGATATTTTGAATTCTATGCGCCCAAAATAGCCGTGTGATGTCGCCCCATTTCTATAGGTGGGTGCCGTAGAAATCCACTAAGGGATAATCATTCAGGAAATGGACAGCAGCATTCCCCGTTTTTCCGATGATGATGATGATGATGATGATTCCCTGTCAATAGAACATCTCGCACTGAGCTCGCCAAACCGCCTGCCAAGTGTGACGAGATTATGCCAGACGACTTTTGTTTCTGTTAAAGTTGAGAGCCGAAATATGGCCACATCATCGGTTGTCATTATTTTGTAACTGTCCAGGGCTTACGAGAGAAGGAGCAAGGCGATTGGCGGATGCTGAGCTGTGAAGAGAAGAAGTGTCTGTACCGCGCCTCCTTCTGCCAGACCTTCGCCGAGTTCCAGGCCTTTACTGGCCAGTGGAAGTTGATCCTTGGTGGCGTACTCTTCACCACCTCTTTTGGCTTCTGGGCGATGATGTTCCATCACTTCTTCGGTAAGCTGTTTTGTCTGTCTTTCGTAAGTTCGTTCGTACTGATGCATTTGTTTAAGACTTTTGCGCTTTGTACACATCATTATGTTTATCTCGGTTTTACCTACATTTTTTCCCGACGTTTCAAAAGGGTTACACTACACACACAACACCGCCGGTGGTCTATAGGTAGATGACTGATGACGTAGAATATCGAGATATCCTCATTTATACTCATTCGCCTGAGTTTGAACTGATCTTCTTCTTTTGCCGTAGGGCACCGTGTCGCTGAACGAGCCCATAAACCTCATCACATCACATCAAACTTATAGGAGTCCACTTCTAGATATAGACCTCCCTCAGGGTACACCACAAGGCACGATCTCCTGTTTCCACCATCAAGTCGCTCGCTACCAGCCGCTTTCTTTAAGTCATCTGGCCATGAACTCCATCTGGCTGGTGGGCGTCCAACGCTACACTTGTCGATCCGTGGCCTCCACTCGAGAACCACTTACTCAACCGTCCATCGTCGAATTTTTAAAATATTTTTTACGTGTTATCCTATATCGATACTGAACCTACCCTTGAGCTTGGCACGCATTTAAATTAACACCCTGTAATTAGAATGTTATCTACCTTACCCATTGCAGTGAACGAACCTCTGCCAGAAAGCCTGTCTGAGGAGAGGC